TGGCCCCTGAATGTCGTAACGTTTGCCTGTACCTTTAGCATAGAAACAGCCCCAAAGCATAATGTTTCCACCTCCGTGCTTGACTGTAGGGATGGCATTCTTATGGCATAATTAGAATTTTTCTTCCTCCAAACACAGCAAGACGCGTTAATGCCAAAGAGCTCAATTTTGGTTTCATCTGACCACAGCACTTTCTGTTAATCCTTCTCTGAATCATTTAGATGTTCATTGGAAAACGTCAGATGGACCTGTACATACGCCTTCTTAAAGAGGGGGGACCTTGTGGGTGCTGCAGGATTTCAATCCATGCCGGCATATTGTGTTACTAATGGTTTGTTTGGTGACTGTGGTCCCAACTGCCTTGAGATCATTCACAAGCTCCTCCGGTGTAGTTCTGGACTGATCTCTCACCTTCCTTATGATCATCCTTACCCCATGAGACGAAATCTTGCATGGAGATCCAGACTAAGGGCAATTGGTTATTTTTTTATTTCTTCCATTTGCAAATTATCGCTCCAGCAGTTGTCTCTCACCAAGCTTCTTTATGATGGTCTTGTAGCCCATTCCAGCTTTGTGCAGGTCTACAGTCTTGTGCCTGATGTCCTTTGACAGCTCTTTGGTCTTGCCCATGGTGGTGCCCAAGAGAGATTCTGTGGACAGGTGTCTTTTATACACAAGTTATTGTTAGGAGCACCTTCTTAAATTGAAAGGACTAATCTGTTTACCACATGAGCACATAGCCAGTCTGTAGGAGCCAGAATTATTGTTGGTTGGTAGAGGATCAAATACTTATTTTAATCACTGAACTGCAATTCAATATATAACATTTGTATCATGTGTTCTTTCTGGATTTTTGGTTGATATTCTGTCTCTATCATTTAAAATACACCTATGATAAAAAATCATAGTTCCTTAATTTCTTTGTAAGTGGGCAAACTTACAAAATCTGCAGGGGATCAAATAACTATTTTCCCCACTGTATACAACGATCATATCTGTCTATGTGTACAACTGCTTCACTTGGAAGTTAACCAGTGGAGACAAAAATTATGAGGACAGCCATTGCTAGTTTGGTTTTAAATTTGTGAATCTGACTTTACTTCCTAACATAAAAAACAGTGCAGCGCTGAAGATAGTAGTAATAAAACAGAAATAAGTCCACTGCAAGTCCAGTTCATAGAAACATGTCAGGTGACAAGTGGAAATTCAATGTTGGTGATCCGTGAGGAAGTGGCTGAAAAACACACTCACCAGAAAGAAGATATATATATAAGCAGTATATATCAAAAGCCCATGGATCCTCAATCCAGAAGGAACAAAGCTGGTCTGGTCACAGAAAGTGGGTCCCTCCTTTAAGGATGCAGCAAAAGATCTTCCTCCTTCCAGTTTGGTATTGGATTTCAAAGTCAGGGTTCTGCAAACAAAGTGCTCCTTGTTTACATGGTTTTTACGCGTGCAATACCTCTTGTCTTGTCTCAGCAGAGTCCATCGCTGAAAAGCCGCCAGCCTGTTCCTGTGAATCTGACTTTACTTCCTAATTAATCAGTGGCCTACATCAAACAAACAAAAGGATATTCACTGGCTGCATGCATATCCCTGGTCAGAGACTACCTAGGTAATGACGCCAGGATCAGTTTGACAGTCCTGGTGCCTGCATCTTTAAAAACTAGTCAGTAATAGCAACTGCTAGATTTTTTACCTACACAGATTCACTTTAAGACAAATGTTGTATTGCTTATCAAGTATCTGCACCATGTTTATGTGTCTAGAACACCCATTCTCAACCAGGGTTCCTCCAGAAGTCGCTATGGGTTCTTTGACACGTGGCAAAATGACCTCCTATGTGATAGTGCTGGCATAGTGCCAGGGCCAACAATCACTTGGCAGAATCCCTGGAATGATTCCAATGAGCTTTTTATATATCTGTAAGGGGGGCATTCTTCCTACTTATCACCAATGTAAGAAGCATTTTTCCCAATGAGCCACAATGAATTGGCTTCAGAAAGGGTTCCTCAAGACCTGAAAATTACTTCAAGTGATCCTCTAGAGTAAAAAGGTTGAGGAAGGCTGGTCTACCAGGGCAATTCATGATGCTTCATTTGTTACATCTGTTATTTATAATAATATGACAAAGTGCTGATTTAGAATGTGTCAGGCACCTGTATGCACAATAAGAGCAAGAACAAGAAGTTTAACTATTACTAGACTGTAGGTCAGCAGTAGCACAAACAGTAATGGCTCAATGTAAGATAGTGTGATTAGTAGGCATCACTGTAAGTGTAGCACCCTCCTAGGCTATGGATACTAGATAAATTTAGTGTGACTTGCTCTGTAGCCAGATAAGCTGTGATACGATTTTGGTCTGTTCTGGCTCCACAGTCTGGGAATTAGAATGATTTTCCCTGAGCCTCTTGAGAACTTTCCAGAGCTCAGGGCGGGGAAATTCAAATGCCCCGGCTGAGCTTCTACCTTGCCCCAGCCAATCCCTGGGCTAGATGGTGGGGAGATGCAGGTAAATAGCCAGGAGCCCAGAGAGATACACTATATTGTCAAATGTATTGGGACACCCCTCCAAATCATTGGATTCAGATGTTCCAATCACCTCCATGGCCACAGGTATATAAAATTAAACCGTGGTGCAATAATAGGTTGCCACCTCTGAAAAAAGGCCACCTGTGAAATTTGCTTGCTATTAAATATTCCATGGTCAACTGTTAGTGGTATTATAACAAAGTGGAAGCAACTGGGAACAACAGCAACTCAGCCAGGCCACATAAAATCACAGAACACGGTTAGCGCAGGCTAAAGCGCACAGTGTGCAGAAGTCGCTAACTGTCTGCAGAGTCATAAGCTAAAGACCTCCAAACTTTGTGCGACCTTCAGATTAGCACAACAGCAATGCGTAGAGAGCTTCATGGAATGGGCTTCAATGGCCGAGTGGCAGCATCCAAGCCTTACATCACCAAGTGCAATGCAAAGCATCAGATGCAGCCACTGGACTCTAGAGAAGTGGAGACTTGTCCTCTGGAGTGATGAATCACGTTTCTCTGTCTGGCAGTCCGATGGACATGTCTGGATTTGGTGGTTGTAAGGTGAACGGTACTTGCCTGACTGCCTTATGCCAAGTGTAAAGTTTGGTGGAGAGAGGATTATGGTGTGGGGTTGTTTTTCAGGGGTTGAGCTTTGCCCCTTAATTCCAGTGAAGGGAATTCCAAGGAGTCAGCATACCAAGACATTTTGCACAATCATGCTCCCAGCTTTGTGGGAACAGTTTGGGAATGGAAACTTCCTGTTCCAACATGACTGCGCACCAGTGCACAAAGCAAGGTCCAAAAAAGCATGGATCAGTGAGTTTAGGGTGGAGGAACTTGACTGACCTAAACCTGATAGAACACCTTTGGGATGAATTAGAGCAGAGACTGCGAGCCAGGCATTTTCGTCTGACATCAGTGCTTGACTTCACAAATGTGCTTCTGGAAGAATTTTCAAACATTCCCATAGATGCACTCCTAAACCTTGTGGACAGCCTTCCCAGAAGAGTTGAAGCTGTTGTAGCTGAAAAGTGTGGGCCAACTCAATATTGAACTCTACGGACTAAGACTGGAATGCCATTAAAGTTCATGTGTGTGTAAAGATAGACGTCTCAATACTTTTGGTAATATAGTGCATGTTCTTAACCTGGAGGAAGTGAATCTTGTACTTCAGGGGGTTGCTAAGTCCTGAAGCCTTCCTGACTGGCTGCTGGACTACTCCCCCCCTGGATCGAACTCATGGCTTTGTCTCTACTGGGTTTTCCTGAGCTGCAGTTTATCTATAGTCTCCAGTTGTGGATGGTGAATACTACTCCAGTGTGCCTACTAGGGTGCTATCCTATCTTGCCTATCAGCTGGAAGAACCCAGACTGCTCCAGTCCTCTCCTAATAACTGCCCAAATCTATCTTGTGGTGATCAGCTGCAGGGAACTTTGACTGTTGCAGTCTACTTTTACGTCTTATCCATGCTCAAACATTTTCCTGACCTACAGTTGGTAGTGAAATACTGTAGCTGCTGCCTAGTGGAGAGGCACCTCTGCTAATTCTGTGCCTAATATTCTTTTGGTGCACAGCTGGGAATGATAGGCTGTGTTGCTATCACCTAGAGAAAGTGTCCTCTGCAAATTTGTGCTTTAATATTTTGGAGTATCCCATACACTGTTGTCCTCCCCAGTTACAAGTTTTCAGCAATATATAAAAAAAGACATCCCCTAGACCAATTATTGAGCCAGAGTGAGTGAACTGCTGCCTGGCTACCTCTGCGCTAACTGGGAAAAAACTTGTGAAAACCAGTGGCACGTTCAGGAGTGAACGTTACATAAGCATTAAAATCATCTTGTGTTGTAATAGTTAAGTGCAGCAGTTAGCTCAGAAAGGTAAAATGTTTTCTTGGACAGGATCCAGAAGACCCAAATGTGAAATTGCCCCAAGAATTAATCTGACACAAATGCAAACCCAACTGCATTGTGGGTCAAGAGCCCCCATGTGTATTCAATGAGATTCTGAACTCTAGATAGGCTTGCAGTTATCTGCAGTACTTAATATAGAGGGACATGGGTGGGAGAAGTGCCAAGTCCCTACTCCTGTGGTTTATATCAATACATTCATCTAAGAATGTCATTGAGATCACACAGGAAAGACATGATAGGAAGGTCCAGAGTCTGGAGGTAACATACAAATCCCTAAAAAATGAAACTGACATAGTGTATTACCTTCAGATTTTATAAAATAAATTAATATGTGAAAAATTGTGAAAAAATTAATCAATACAACGTAAGTGACACGTGAATCGCGCAAAGACAATTTTCACTCCGTGTACACCCCTGCAACCGTGAAAATCAACACACAAAAAAAAGGAAAAAAATCCAAAATAAAAATGGTAATCGGCATTCCGTGGAGGGGACATGTACACAGATCATCAGAGCACTGATGATCAGTGTGCCCTGATGATCTGTGTATCCCCAGCAGTGCCACCTGTCAGTGTCCATCAGTGCCAGCTTTCAGTGCGTATCCATGCCACCTGCCAGTGCCCATCAGTGCCACATCAGTGCACATTTCAGTGCCCATCAGTGCCACATCAACGCCACATATCAGTGCCCATCTGATCTGCCTTTCAGTGTCACCCATCAGTGCCAGTCAGTGCCACCTATTAATGCCAGTCAGTGCCACCTATCAGTGCTGCCAGTCAGTGCCACATATCAGTGCTGCCAATCAGTGCCACATATCAGTGCCAGTCAGTGCCACCTATCAGTGCCCGTCAGTGCTGCCTATCAGTGCCGCCTAACAGTGCCAGTCAGTGCCACCTAACAGTGCCAGTCAGTGCCGCCTATCAGTGCCACCTATCAGTGCCATATATGAGTGCTGCCTTTCAGTGCCCATCAGTGTTGCCTGTCAATGCCCATCAGTGCCACCTACCAGTGCCTCCTCATCAGTGCCCATCAGTGCCACCTATCAGTGCCCATCAGTGCAGCCTCATTAGCACACATCAGTGAAGGAGAAAAATCACTTATTTACAAAATTTTATAACAAAAACTAAGAAAAAAAAAATTTTCAGACTTTTCAGTGGTTTTTGGTTTGTTTAAGAAAAAAATAAAAAATCCAGAGGTGATTAAATACCACCAAAATAAAGCTCTATCTGTCACAAAAAAATGATAACAATTTCATATGGGTACAGTGTTGCATGAACGCGCAATTGTCATTCAAAGTGCAACAGCGCTGAAAGGTGGAAATTGGCCTGGCAGGAAGGGGATATAAGTGCCCTGTAGGCTAACGGTTAAACCATCATAACCACTCCGTGAAAATTCAATGAATCATATCAATACGTGAAGTGTATAAACCTTGACCATCTAACACTAGTGGGATTAAAGGCAATTACCCTTTGGAGTAACAACAAGCATCTCAGGATAAGTAATCGCTTAACAGCTTCCATCCACCATCAGGTAGTAGACTTTCAGCTTCCCCAATTTCCTCAGAAGGTAAAGAAGAGACCCATGAAGTATTTGGATAAGGTATAAATCAAGAAATTTAATACATGCTTACATTAGGGATTACTTCAGACCAGTCCCAGCAGTTTGTATGACAAAAAAAACACGTTCTCCAATACTAAAAATGGCCGCGCCGCTACTTCCAGTTTGGCGTCAGACGTCAAGGGACGTTAGACGTCAAAGAGACAGAGGTCTGTTTAGACCCCTCTCCAAAGTCTCTCCAAGGCCCCCCCCCCCCCCACACACCCCAAACAAAATGAAAAAAATATTAAAAACAAAATTGTTCCAGATAAAAATATAAATAAAATTGTCAAAAATGAAAATGAAAAACATAGTAAGGGTAGATGAAGACATGCTTCTAAATGAATAGGGCTGCCTGTACAAGGGATGCACAGAACACCGTGCATCCCCGCGTGGGTAATCACGGCCATCACGGCCATCCATGGACATATGCTTTAATATACCCCATGTGAATGAGGCCTTAGTAAGAATTTAACAAGAACTTTGTAAGTTATGCTGTGTTTATGTGTGCAAATAAGGATTTAGCAGAAATGTTGTAAAATTTGCTGTGTTTGTATCTGCTAATAATGATTTTAGTGTATTCTTAACGAAAATATTGATTTGGTAAACATTTGCGCAAATATTGCAGGGCCTTAAAAACAGTAGCAGTTTCTTTTTATTGGTCATGGTCATGTGCTTTGAGAAAATGTATGGTTTGGGGGTCTTTTACAAACTCATAAAGTGGTAAGGAAAAAATAAAAAAGCAATGTAAAAACTGCAAAAATGGTCTGGCCACCTGAGTTTTGCTCCTTTACTATTTAGTAAGTCATTGTTCAAGAACATCAGTACTCAGTGGCATCCCTAGGCAGGTGTGGGGGGTGCACGCCACCCTGGGTGACACCTATTGCATGGGGTGACACTGGACCCGCTCCACAAAAAGGTAAGTTTTAAAGTAAGCCGACGATCCCCGAAGGATGGATCGGATCTGCGGATTGAGCATAATGGATCAGAGTCTGATCCATTATGTTCCCCAATCTGCAGATCTGATCCATCTTGCAGGGATCGTCGGCTTGCTTTAAAACGTACCTTTTCGTGGAGAGATCAGTTAACCCTGTATAGGTTGCAATCCGACGATCCCCACAGGATGGATTGGATCTGCGGACTGGGGAGCATAATGGATCGGACTCCGATCCATTATGCTCAATCCGCAGATCCGATCCATCCTACGGGGATCGTCGGAGGGGTGACACCAAGTGTTACCATACCGGGTGTCACCAACCCTAGGGACACCCCTGCTCCCTCTACATATTTGTTTTGGGTCAATAACACAAAAAAGGCTTAATTAAGAAAGCTAACACTGGAATAAAAAAAAGTGACATTTATTTTCAAGATTATCAGCCCAATGAGATTTACAAATTGCAGAGAAAACCTGTGAATTGAGCCTAAAGAAGGTAAACAAAAATTACGTCTCCAGAGTTTGAGTTGGCATCTACAACCACAATGTCATCTCCTTTATTGCTTTTCAGAATAGCTCCCTTTACAGCACAGTTGGCAAAAAAATATATGTACATACATGCTTACAGCACATCCACCGTCCTAGAGGTACCTGTGGCCTTCTTCAAATGTTTCAGGGTGGCCAAGAAATCTCTGCCATTCCAATAAGCAAGGTTCAATAATTCCCAGGCGTGTTAAAGATGTTCTACCACTTATTGCTCCCACACCTTCCTAATGGCTGATCACTATCATTGGTGGGATCATTGCTTAGATGGACTGTTCATATTGCTTTTCAAAATGTCGTATTTTATGTTATTCAGCTGCATACAAGTAAGAACATTGTTATCAAACCCAAAAACAAAATGTAATATATTTCAGCATCAGCAACACTCCTGGGATGGATTAGAGCAATTCAAATTGGTCACTGACAGCTTATCAACCATTGGAGGTAAGTACAGCGGGGACTGGGGTGGGGAAATTGTATGGGGTTAGTCCACCTTTTCATTTTTTTCTGAAAAGGTAAACTTGTAACCATGCATCATGATTTAATGTCCAAATTCATATATTTTATGTTGTATTATACAGTATTTTAAGCCCTTTATAATTAATCACCTGAATGATATTTTATACCATTGTGTTAAAACAAGGCTATGAGGCCTCTATTAATACACATTTTTAAACCTAAGGCCAGACATACATGGGTCAAAAATCGACCGATTTTTCGTCCGAAAATCGGACCTAAGAATAATCGGCCGATTTTCGCTCTATTAGAGGGTCAATGGCACTGGCCGATTTTTGTGGTTCCTCCCCTTTTCAGTGATCGGGCATGTTGGAAAATGTGTGAAAAATGACCGATTTTTGATTCAATGATGGTCAAATCGTGCGAACGTTTTTTCCGAAAAGAATATGCGCGTGAGCCGTGACCTGGAAGGAACAGAAGTTTTGTTATATGGGGTGAACTTTATGACTTGGTTGGCCGATTTTCAAAATCAATGATGGCACCATGGGATTACAGAGCGAACAACATTTTCGATTTTCGGACAAAAAATCATTCAGAATTCAAACCATGTATGGCCTGCATAACTCAAACTGTTATGGGGATCTTAATTTCTTCTAGGCATTTTGTGAGATATGCCATTTCTTCAGAAGCATGGAAGAACAACAGTCTGTATAAACATAAAATAAAAACATATTACTCACAATAATTGACATCAGTGTGCTTTCATGGTTTAGAATTACTCATTGGGAGCATGGCTAAAATATTCAAACAAGGTGCGCACCCTAGATTTCCCTGGGGGGCGAACGCAAGGGCATATCAAGGGAACAACTGGGGGAAGGGGAATAGGACTATAAATTATAACAAATATAAATATATATAATCCTACACATATAAAATAATGGCATAATGCTCAGTCAGGCCCGTTATTATACACTATATCATTATATTAAATTATACAAAGTGGAGAGGTGGGCTGCTGATGTCACAATCTCCAATTGTCCGATCAGAAAATGCCATGCTATCATTATGAAAAATGCAAGGTGTTCTGTGAATGTCACCAAGCACTGGTCTAAGCTGGACAAAAAAACCCATACCTAGGATCACCTTTTAGGTGAGTTTCTTGAGCCTTGGTTGCAGGGGATTGAAGAGATTAATGTACAGTATAGTTAGAGAACCTGAAGCCTTTAGCAAGCTGCAGTATGTGTTACTTCCCTAATTGTTTTCACAGGTTGCCTTGAACTTTTAAGCACCAATTGTAGTTTTTTAATTTAGTATGTATTTCATTTATTGGTCTGAAATAATAATAAAAAAAACCTTTTAAAATTATTTTTCTTTTTTTTTTTTTGGGGGGGGGGGGGGGGGGGCTTTTTTTGCTTTTTCTGGGGTCCTTTGCTTTTTTCTAGTGAAACACTTGCAGTTTTAAAAAGCTTGTAGTTTCTGAGGTTTCCTTAAAAGAGAAGTTCAGGATTTAAAAAAAAAAATTATACTCACATTGATACTACATCTGTCCCCCACCCGCTTTGCACTGAGAACAGCGATCAAAGACCGCTGATTGCTCAGTTCTCAGTTATGTCTTTCCCACTCTTTTCCACCTGTTGCATTTTTGTCCCATCATTATAAAGATGAACTTATCAACCAATATTGAAGAAGGGAAGGCTGATTTTTGCTGGTGACTATAGGAGCCACAATGCATAGTAGAGTGTCCTGATATTTTATGGCTCTCCAGGCCATCTGTGTTAAAATAGAAACCACAAGAAAAAAAAAAGGTGTAATACAGTATAGGCATCAGTTTCTTATATATTTCATAGGCTTACCTAAACTTAAGGGTGGACCCTCCTCCAGACTGTCACAAAGAAAGTAAAGTCGCAGTGAAAAATGTTGTGAAAAGAGATAACAAAAAAGATATTTACTGTTCCTTGCAGGCTTTTTTTGAGGATTTTCTTACTTTTCTTCTTCATCACTCTCCACCCAGCAGCTATTTTAAGAAAGGGCAGAAGATTCTCCCCTTTTTTCCTAGAGTTCTAACCCCCCCACCCATGTGACCCTAATCATCATCTGGGTAAAGAAAAAAAAGTCTTTGCCAGTAATACTGAGAGATCCAGCAGAGTATCCACAGGATTTTTCAGGAAGACACTTGGTGAGATAGCCTTCCCACTATTAACCCCTGAGGCCTTGGCTACATCACCAGTTCACCAATGCTTATAAAGGCCAGGATGTGCAATGTAATGCAAATGTAATTTGTCTCCATAAAAACTAAGATGAATTGACATCTGCACGCAGATTTTTCTGTTATGGGGGGGGGGGGGGGGGGGTAAATGGTTTGACATTCTGTCAGCCACCAGCTCTTTGCTCTGCCCCTCTAGTGCTCACTGGAGTGCCGGGCTGTGGAGAGGGCAGGAGCAGCTGGCTCACTCTCCCAGTGGCTGCTGCCAGTCCAGGCATCTGGGTGGATTTCGACTGTAAAGTCGGGATCTTTCCAGAGCCTGGACTGACTGAGTTAAAAAATTGTTTACAGGAGTGCAGAACACCATGATCTTAACCTCCCTGGCAGTATTCCCGAGTGTAGCTCGGGGTAAAAGTTTCAGTACCAAAAGCGGTAACCCCCCCAAGCTACACTCGGGCTTACCATGCGGCGTTGCTCAGGGAGTCCCTGCAGCGCTTACCTTGTCCTTCGCTCCTGCGATGTGTCCCCTGCAGCGTCCCCGGCCATCTCCTCCGGCCGATGCATCTGGCTTCCGTGTTCCGGTCCCTGCAAGCGTCGGGACGTACGGGGGCCGGAACGGCGGCAAATTTAAACATTTTTAGAAACTGTCATTTTCTTTGACATAGAAAAAAATTACTTTATCAAACCATTTCACATACATTTTGTCCCTAGTGCTTTGTCCTGTGCCCTGTCTGCATGTTGACTGTTCTTTCTGCCTGGAAACTTAGAAAAGCCATGGCATCCAAAAAGCGTCCCTTTTGGTCAAAAGCGGTTTTAGACCGGCTAGAGAACAGCAATAGTAAATCAGAACCACTTGCAGAATTGAGTGATAATGATTTGTGGGGAAATTCGTCATCAGACACTGAAAACCATTTTGCGACTTTGCTCAGTGATGTGAGAACTTGGCGCTATATTTCAAATTTCAGTGTTTTTGGTTTGATTATATTATTGAATTAAATTTATTTTATTATTATTTTTATGATTATATTTATTAAAATTATAATTTATGATTTTGTGTTTCAAGTTTTATCCTACCCGGGATGTTTACTAGACTCTTGTTCTGACAAATTTCAGTAAGTAATTCCTAAAAATTTCAGGCCTACAAAAAAATAAAAATATATATTTTTCCATGCAAAAAAATGTACCACTTTGAGCACAGAAATATGGACATAATCATACCACTAGGGAGGTTAAGGAGAAGTAGGGCCAAAAAAAAAATCTTTGTCCACTCCTCTCTCCTCTTGAATTTTGCAGCTGGCTCCAGCATCAAACGCAACCCATTTAAGTGAACGGGGCCATGCCGCAACCATCCAGCAGCCGCTTTCTGCGGTGTGGTGGTTTGACATTTCAAAGGGTAAAGCAAGTGGTAGAAAACTCTCATTTTATACTTTAACCTTTTACAGCCAAGCTTATAATAAAACTTACCTATAAGTAAAATAAATATCTCCTAAGCATTCACCGGTTAGGAGATATTCTACAGAGTTGCAGCCGGTGACAATACTGGCACATGTGCTCTGAAGGAATGGCATACCCGTGCCGTTCCTTCTCAGTTGTGTGCCATGTCATCAGCTGCTCGGCCATTCAAGCAGACGCAGCCTGGAACGCAGAAGAAGACATCACCATGGGAGTGACATCACAGCAGCTTGGCCAGTTAGACAGCCGGAGCCCAGAACCCGGAAGGAAGATCAGGTGAAGATAGAAGCCTCAGCAGCGGAGACAGTGCACCGCTAGAGGGCTTCGTTCTAACGTATGTCTTTCATAATGTGCTAGTATGCGATTCCTACTAGCACATTATGATGTTCCCTTGCAGCAGGAAACTTTTTTTTGTTCAAAGAGTTTACTACCACTTTAAGGAGGAGACATATCGCCTCCTCACTGCCTGTCAAGCACCCTCTGAAAAGTGCAGATTGCTTTTCAGAGGGGTGTCAGTATAGCCGCACATGCGAATGAACATAAATACCAGCAAAACATACATACCAGTAAAGAGTATGCTGGAGTATGAGTAGCAGGAATCTGTTTTTTTGTGAGAGAAAAGGGTAGCTTTAAAAAGATACGAGACTTCAATTGGATTTTAATGTTGAAAAACAATCATTGAAATTAGAGATGAGCGAATTATTCAAAAATTCGATTCGGCTGATTCGCCGAATTTGCGGGAGAAATTCGATTCGATGCGAATTTATTCGCCGCGAATTTAACTTATTAAAAGGGTTTCTAGGCTTCAGAGAGCCTTTATATTAGTGCAGAACACTGTACCTTTAATTTAAATGCCCTTGGAGTCTGCTGGGGAAGAGAAATAATACTGTCAGTCAGTATGACATGCAGATGAGTGCCGTCGATCTTAGAATCACCGCACACTTCACTCATTTGGGCAGTCACGGGGCACGACGAAGAAGAAGAAGAAGAAGAAGAAGAATGAACAGAAGAATGAAAAGAAGAAGAAGAATGAAAAGAAGAATGAAAAGAAGAAGAAGAAGAATGAAAAAAGAATGAAAAGAAGAAGAAGAAGAATGAAAAGAAGAAGAAGAAGAATGAAAAGAAGAATGAGAAGAAGAATGAAAAGAAGAATGAAAAGAAGAATGAAAAGAAGAATGAGAGAATGAAAAGAAGAAGAAGAAGAATGAAAAGAAGAATGAGAAGAAGAATGAAAAGAAGAATGAAAGAAGAATGAGAAGAATGAAAAGAAGAATGAAAAAGAAGAAGAAGAAGAATGAAAAGAAAGAAGAAGAAGAATGAAAAGAAGAATGAAAAGAAGAAGAAGAATGAAAAGAAGAATGAAAAGAAGAAGAAGAAGAATGAAAAGAAGAAGAAGAATGAAAAGAAGAAGAAGAAGAATGAAAAGAAGAATGAGAAGAAGAATGAAAAGAAGAATGAAAAGAAGAATGAAAAGAAGAAGAAGAAGAATGCAAAGAAGAAGAAGAAGAATGAAAAGAAGAATGAGAAGAAGAATGAAAAGAAGAATGAAAAGAAGAATGAGAAGAATGAAAAGAAGAATGAAAAGAAGAAGAAGAAGAATGAAAAGAAGAAGAAGAATGAAAAGAAGAAGAAGAATGAAAAGAAGAATGAAAAGAAGAAGAAGAAGAATGAAAAGAAGAAGAAGAATGAAAAGAAGAAAGAAGAATGAAAAGAAGAAGAAGAAGAATGAAGAAGAAGAAGAATGAAAAGAAGAAGAAGAAGAATGAAAAAGAAGAATGAAAAGAAGAAGAAAAGAATGAAAAGAAGAAGAAGAAGAATGAAAAGAAGAATGAAAAGAAGAAGAATAAGAATGAAAAGAAGAATGAAAAGAAGAAGAAGAAGAAGAATGAAAAGAAGAAGAAGAATGAAAAGAAGAATGAAAAGAAGAAGAAGAAGAAGAATGAAAAGAAGAAGAAGAATGAAAAGAAGAAGAATTAAAGTACAGCAAAAAGTGTATCTGCAGAGAGCTCCGCTATTTCTGACAGTTCTCTGACAGTTCCTTCACATTTACAGCGGTTGAAACATTGTATCTATTTATTTCCGAATAAAAACATCTGTATCCTAAATGGAAACAAATAGATACAATGTTTCAACCGCTGTAAATGAACTGTCAGAACTGTCAGAAATAGCGGAGCTCTCTGCAGTGACACTTTTGCCGGCTGATCGGGAAAAATTCGATTCGTGCACCCGAAGTTTGCTAAAATTCGGATTCGATGCGAATCAAATTTTTCCTGATATTCGAAACGAATTCCACTTTGCCAGGTTCGATTCGCTTATCTCTAATTGAAATATATTAACATGCTTTAGGAATACCTTAATACGACTGGAAATTGAAATCAAGAATGTACTGATAATAGATAAAGAACCACTGAAAGAGGTCTAAAAATGGTTCTCTTTTTTAAATCTTAACAAAACATAGCAACTTTGGTATATTCATTTGTTCCCTTTAACAAAGCTGTATTGTTCAAAAATAGATGTTAATAAATGAACTTGACTAAAACTGTTTTGCACACAAGTGTTTATATAAGCAATCTGGCAAGCTGGCTTCTGGATTTAAATCAGGACATCTCCGCCCGAAGCATCCCACACTCCCTTTTTCACTATGACTCACATTCGATTACTTTAACATATACTTTAATTAGACCTACTTGCATAGCAACTGGATTCCAATGTAGAAGCAATGAGAAGGAATAAGGCTCTCCCAACAACAGTAATTAACCATAATGAGAGTGGACAAAGCAGAAATGAAGAAAAAAGACATAATGTTTGTGATAAAATCATCACAATCAAACTGTGAAAATAGATCCTTTATGCACAGCTATTCTTAACATTTCCTTTCCATTATTTTATTTCAACATCTTTATGACAGGTGTAAGCAATTTGGTTCACAGATGTTGCTAAACCACTACTCCCAGCATGCTTTGCCAGCTTAATTTAATCTCCTACAGCACAAATGTTTGTGAAAAAACATCAAACCTGGTTGGCTTATAGATGAAAATGCTCTATTTCACTAACAATCTAAAGGTCTCTTTAGTTCATTTCTGTCTAAGGGTGTCCAAAGCCATAACTTTTTTTCGTTTTGGACAGAGTAAGAAAGTATTAAAATCCTGGTTAGGTTTTTATTGCTGTCCGTATTCCTGCCAAGGAGATTCACCTTTCCTATTGAACCCAGGGGCATTTACCACAAGGCAAACAAGGCATTTGCCTAGGGCGGCATTTTTCAGGGGGGCAGCACCACACCCCAGGAAGAAGGGATGCAAGAAGGGAAACATGCGGCTTGGAGACCAGGTGGGATATGAGAGAGGCTGGGGATGTCCAGAGCTGTGAATGTTAGTGTCTTTCTCTCTCTTGCTGGGAGAGTGGCTGGGGTATGGGGGCGATGGTAGTGGAAGGCTCTTTTGGGTGGGGGGGGCAGGGGTGTTGTTGGTCAGTGTCAGGCTCTCTCCCCGGGGGGGGGGGGATTTTTGTGTTGCCTAGGGCAGCACAAAACTAAATACACCAGTGATTGAACCTGATGAACATTGGCTCTGGAAATTTTTCAAAAACTCAAAATCATTAAAACCCAAAGCCCTCTTTTACATGTATATATAAAGTGCTAATATACTAAATAACACTAGTAAATAAATAAATAAATACTACTGTCCAAAAATTATATTGTCCACAATAAAAAATCTAATCAAATCAAATAAACAGAATAGACAAAAATCCTCCAGAAAGACAGTCCGCAAAAAGGCTTCCAGCCGAATGTAGATCCAGTGATTATGGAGATCGAACCTCAAAAAAAGAGAGAACTCACATAGTTTTTAGGTGCAATTGGGGAATTATTTAAAGGGTACACCGTTCATTTTTTGTTAATTTTTTGTTACTCTTTTACATGGGCGGTTGGGGAACAGTAAAAACAGGAGGCAGAGCTGCAATTTGCTGCCCTCCCCAACCCTAACAATACAGCTGAACAAGGCTCTACACATGCCATGATCGCAGCATTTTTAACTGGGGCTTCAGAGCTTGGAAAGTTTCACTGCCTGTCAGACTCACCCATTAAATTTAAGCCACGCCACAAATGTGAATGAGCCCAAAATATTTTTGAGTGGTCACAGTAGGGTTGCCATCTTGTAAATTGTAATTCTAAATTCATAATTCGGGACTTATAGGACTTATATTAATGGAAAGCTTGCAAAATATCATTTTTTTGCGATTAATCTTAATTAATATTAAAAATGTGTGGTTGGCCTTGAGCAAGTGATGGTGTTGAATTATTCAGTT